CATTGTCCAAAGCCACCAACTTATTCTTAAACCACCATCTCCGAAATAATCCAATCAATCGGCCCTTAATAACCATCCATTCACGCGATACACTTTATGTCTCGTTTCTTTGAAAATCTATGTAATTGAGTCATAACTGTTGAAAATACTGAACTTTGATTATGTCTCTTTCCAATTATACAGTGGGTAAATCTACTTCAACATGAATGAGATATAGTTTTTAAAACAAAATTCTCCTCAGATTTTACTTTTGCAAAATTATATAACAGTTGCGATATAAGTGAACTCTTTTGATTTCTCTTTATACATTAATAGTTTTTAAAACTTCCAGAGTACACCAGGTTGCTTTAACTCACCAATCTTTTAGAGCTAATTTCCTTTTAGAACCAAACTTTGCTACAACGTCTTTTCAAATAAGATATTCTCCATTGTTGAAATATAATTGTTCATATCGGATTGAACATTTGCTCAACCGAATAAGTCTTTACGGCTCCCGCAAAACCTTTAAATACCTCGACTATACGTTCTGGTCCATTCCTGACCGAACCTTTATTCAAGCATGAATTTACAATCTTATACATATTAGTCTTGAGCATAACAAAAATATTTCAACTGCAAATATAGTTCTTAATCTTTTTAATTCTTGCTCAAATTGTTCATCAGTAAAGGATCACTTTAGGAGCCTTGGTTTGGTTAAACCTTAAACTCTTAGCCTGCGATGCTGAATAAGATCTCTCCAAACTAACACCTTTGCATTCTTTTTAAATTAAAATTAACGCTGCCAGGTCAAGCTCATCCATACTATCGTCCTCGTTAAGACACAGAATAGGCTTCAAAGGATATATCACGTAAATCCAGATTTCCATCCGTCCTTATCATTATGCACTGCCTTCTTCCCATCATTCGTAATTAATGCTTCACCAGAAAAAAGTTTCTCAAAATCCTTATGTTTTTCCCACTTTATATTCTTCTAGATACATCATAAATTACATTCTTTAAATCACTTTATCGTTATTGTATTCACGCTCTTTTACCATTCTATCCGCATACACTTTCCTTACTTTCTGAGGATTTTTACTACTTGGGAACTTTCTATCAAAACTTTCATTCAACGTTAGTAAACTTAAACATGTTTAGACATTCTTTAAAAGTTGGTGGTTCATAGAAATAATCTTCTCGTATCATATCATTAAAACCATTTCTTAGAGCAGCAAAATGAAACTTTAACGTATTAATATCTTGTTTTTTCTGTATCTAAGAACAAGTCTCGTTTTCGTGAAAAAATTTACAAAATACATCATAGCCGGTATATTATATACAAAAGTTTTAAATGGTCATATAATCCACCAAATATTTTGCCGAAACATTACTCAATTTCTTGCATCATCATCTAAAACCAAGGATCTTCTATATCAGAGTGCACCCCTTTTGCAATTTTGTACCCCATAGACTTTCATGAAAAACATTCACACACGCATAACAATCTTCAAGAATCTCCTTCAGTTTTTTATTTCTAAGAAGACTTCTAACTTATTAACAGGAACCATGATAGGTATATATCTTCGTATCGGGAAAATATGCTTTCGGGTCGAGAATAACGCAAAAATTATCAAACTTTGGAGGTAATAATTTCCGTACAATCCGCGTTGTCTTTTTTGTTCTATAAATTCTTAAAAGACATATTTTCGCAATTGAACTAACAAATCTGACGTCTGTTCATTATTATTAGCTTCTAGTCGTCAATGCAGAAAGTTTGGATAATCCAACATGTGCTCAGCAATTCCAATTAATTCGGTATTTGTATTTTCTTCACAAACTATCGTATTCATTGCTTCCGCTCCTTTCTCGTCGTCACTTGAAATTTCAATACACTCGGCGATTTGAATGATTTCTTCATTAGCTATTTCATCTGTCAATTCAAAACTTTGTGTCCGTTCGCTACATCACGTACATTTTATAATTGACAATAATAATCTATGCGATAATGCATTAATAAACGCATTCTTGTTCCTTAGACAAAAAAATATGGAACAAGCAAAATTAAATCTACAAAGCCGTTGAATGTTCCCAAGCAGATTCATATCCAACTTTACCAGGTTATGCAATATTCTAGCAACTATAGCTAACATCCTTTAATATTCTAATAGGATCCATGGCTTAATATTTAAATTATATAAGTTGGTCAAGTTTTATACCGTTATAATTGATAAATTCACCGAGTTTAAATATAATATGATTATATTTATGAATTATTATTTATTTAGTTGTAAGTGATCTTGCAAAATACTAGTAGCCAAGACGAACTAGAAAACTAGAAGAGGAGAACGGGGATGGAACTAAAAAAAATTGCCGAGTAAAATAAAAAACGTTGGTCTAAACAAAGAAAATCTGTAATTGCACATTTTGATTTCTTTTCCTACCAATTTAGATTAGATCTGTACATAAAAGAAATCTAGATATAGATGGAGAACGGTTAAAGGTTTAGATTTAATATCTTGTGTCGGATTTGTTTTGTCAGAAATTTGCTCCCGCCTATTGGACATAGATCACATGATGGACTACCCCTTTGTATTTGTTTTGGTCTTGCAATTTGCAATTTGATTGGTTAATTTCACAGCCACAGCGCCGGGCTATTTGTATTACAAGACGAGGCTCTGCTTTAGCCGTTCCCCCTATCAGGAGTAAACGGGGTCTATTATGTTTCAACCACAAACTATATTGTTATCATCTTCATCAACGCCTTATTTTTTTTCTGCCAAAATTTATATAATTGGTGTTCATTTGTATAATGACTTTGATTTAGAGCTTGAAGATAAAAAATTCAATTAGAATCAAAAAATGAAATCTTTTTATTTTCAGTCTTTAAAAATATCTGCTATTTATGATCGAAGAAGCGATCTCAATACAATTAGCTTAATTTTTTTTAGCAAATGCAAAGAAATCTTTACAAACCAAAAGATTGTTCTCTTCTTCGATAAGAATCATAACCTTCTTATTCGCCACTACTCGACTTGATGAATTGCATCAAACGGAACAACAAACTGTTGGCATTTTTGATTGAAGGATTTCCTATATTAAATGAAGAAAACGTTTTTGCCTGGTTTGGTCGCAGCTTTGATTCTGATATTCCAATAATAGAGGTGGAATACCAGGAAACGAGTGGATGAAGAAGGCCTCACGTCCAACCGGATTGACACCGATACGGAATAAAGAGAAGCTAGAACCCCGATTAATTTCGAAAAGAAAAGAGAATGGTACATGACCCTTACCAACCTATCATTGATTATCCTGATTTACAACCTAATCCCTCAGCGCTTGATATTGAAGTGTGAGATAAAGATTCATCAAGCGCGTCACCGAAACATGAAAACCTTTATTACAAACATCGATCTCCATTCGAATCAAAGAAAAAGAAAATATATTTATTTTTAAATTCTGTAATTTAAATTTTATTCTTGAATAATTTTTTTTTATTTTTTTTTCTTCTATTTCGATTGTTTTTAAAATTTTTTGTAAAATCACATGAATGAAATAATATCACATGACATTTCTATTAAACACGTTAATGACATTTGTTTTTTTAAATATATGACGAAATGAGTAAACAATAGTACAACGTACAATGAATCACAGTTTCCTCTAAAGGATATTTGATTTTGAATTCTCTCGCTCAAAACATTGTTGTTATGATGACAGAGATAAATACGGCGGGATCCCTGCTTTGATATATCGAAGAGAGATGGGATAAACGCCTCGGCAACAAAAAAAAGACAATGATAATGGAAATTTTTGATTTTACTGAATAAGATTAATCTTTGAATTTGTATTGGTGCACATAGCCAATCGAATTTTTAAATGAGGCGGATGTGCATTAGTAACTTAAATTGTGTTATTTTGTATCACCTTTGTTAGTTATGTTTGCCTGTGTGCACCAACCACGACCGCGCAAATCTCTTAATAATAGAAATAAAGAAAAATGCAATGGTCGGAATAAATGGAAAGTATAACTCATATAATTTCAAATTTTAATAATCATCAAATATAATAAATGTACATGTATGTATGTAATGTCATGTTAAATGAATGTGTGTGTGTGTCTTTAGCACGACTCATTAAATGAAATTTAAAAGTCTAAAAACAAAATAACAGTTTATTCTTTCTCTTTTCTCTTTTTTCATTTTCTCTTTTTCATAATTTTACCATCATATCATTGATTTAGTCGCTCATTTAGTATTGTATCTATTTTATTGATTTTTTATGACTTTATCCAGCTAGTGATTATTTTATTATTGTTGCTAATAAAATAATAGACTTTGATTAGTCTTTTTATACCCTTTTCACTCATAATCCACCACACACACGCACATCCCCCTTTCCCTTTCCTCAAATCCATCCGCCATTTTTCTCAATCTTGTGATTATTCGGTCTTTACCATTTTTGACAAGAACGAAAAAGACGACAAATAACAATAGCAACAACGACGACGGGTCAGTAAGTGCGTAATATACGTAAGTACTATTGTTTAAAAATTTATTTTTTTTTTTTCTTATTATAATCATTCATCAATCAACAATCGGGTTTACTCCTCCAATTTTGGGAATACTTTTTGTTTATTTAATTTTTCATTGTCACAATAATATCATTTGGTCACTGAAATAATATTCACTCTTAACCAACCCCACTACGCCTCTGGTCCCTGCTTCCTCGCTCTATCTTTTATAGAAATATCAGTTGGCAGTGCCTTGTTTTTGACTTTGATAAGCATTAACAATAAAAAAAAAGGAAGAGAGCTCTGGAGATTCTTTTATTTTTTGCTGGGCTGAGAATAAAAATACCACTTACTACTTTACTACTACCGCTATCACTAAATTAACACCCAACAATAACACCCCCCCCATTATAAATAACAAGAATATCAACTTTGTGTGTATATATACATATATATACAAAAAAATTTATTACAAAAAAACGAAAGAAATAAAACAGTGACACAATAAAAAATGGAATACTCGAGTATGCAAAAACACACAAGTATACCGGATCCAATTGATACGCCTTCCTTCTTGGAGACAGACCCATACGGGAATCAAACAAACAAAGCATTCACTTCACCCATGCCGACAACACCAATGGGAACACCAAAACGATTCTATAAAAAGCCATCAAAGCCACGTGATTTTGCTCACAGCGCAAAGAAGCGTCAGTCAGTTTTAGCGCTTGGAAGTATCACTCATCTACAACATTTTTATGCTAAACGAGGGATCATTATTAAACCAAAAAAACCAAAAAATGCGTATGTTTATTTTATGATTTTTACTCATTCGTGGAAAGTTGCATCGATTAATTCATGTAACTGATTGATTTTTTTTAGTGAAGGTGGAGCTGGCCTATCGATTAATACAAATCTTACTGATTTATTGAAAATTTCAGAGGAGCCGGACGATATTTCATTTCCTCCGACCCCACTTCCTCCTTCTCCGCCACCATTACCCGCATACATAACCTCGAGACTAGATGTTGAAACAGATCCAGAAGTATTATTAGCCACTTGTCATATAGAAATACAGGAGATGCTTGATGCATGGAAAATAATGAATAACGGGTCAAGGAATGACTCTGATTCCGATGACGGTTCTACAGTTTCTGGTTTTTCATCCTCATCGGCTGCTGTGGATGTTCTCGATGTAATTGCAACCACAACGAAAGCAATACAAGCAGTTAAAAATTATTCAATGGTAAAAGAGGATTTATCTCCTGAATCATTAAGTAAGATTCGAGCTGCTGCACTTGAAGTTTTGGAGATGATAAGTGGGCTGGAGAAAAGTTACCGAGATGACGATACAGATGATAGTAGTAGTGAAGACGGACATGTTTATAAATCAGCGAGTCTAAGAACTTTGGATCACGAAAGAGTCATACTGAAAAAATATATTAAAGTTGTAGAGGAATGCTTACTATTCGACGACAAGACAATATATCCAAACATATCTTATTTGAGCAGCGCTAATAGTGGAATGAGTAGCAATAATTCATCCTCATTTCATACCAATGCTCCGTCAACTGCTTCTACTTCATCCGCAGCTTCAATTATTGAGGAGAATAAACGTGATTTTATTCTTTCCTCAATAATGACTCCGCCTGCTTCTCCCGGATATCCTAATCTTGATTGGACACATCCGGAATTATTTGAAGATGATAATCTTGGTATTTTATTGTTGTTTCTTTAATTGTTTATTTGTAAATAATGCTATCACGATTTTATTATAAACATCTATTATTATTATTATTATTATTAGCTCGGTATCATTCATTTTTAGAAGCACATCGTCCTTCAAAATCCAAACAAGCCGCCGATTACATACCACTTCCAGATCCTCGGAACGACAAAACAGAATTTTTTGCTGCATTAGCGTAAGTTTCATTTTTTCAAAAAGATTAATGGCATATTAAAATCAATCTATAATCATTATTAATCTGTATTCCTGTGATTGGTCATTAAATTTTAACTCATAGTGATGGTAAATTACTATGCGAGATATTTAATACTGTTGTACGGCGATCAAAGCGACCTTTTGGGTTTATTGATCATATACATGAGGATACATCGCGGACTTATCGGGCTACAGAGAATTTGAAATTTTTTGCAGCGTATGTTTTTTCTCACGAGAGAGATATATATATATTTATCTTTTATAACATATGCACTCGGATGCATTCAATATTTATATTAATTTATCTCATTATTCTACAATTATATTATAGTGCATGCAGATTTCGATTTGATATCAAATTTGAAGAATTTAATGCTCCTGAAATAGTGAAACTGACTGAAACGGGGAAAGTTCACGTAAGTAGCAACAATACGTTTGTTTGTTTAAATATCTTTTCTGGATTTATTAAGTTTATTAATTTAATTTTTACATGTTAAAAAATAACAGTTAGAAAAAACACTTGAAATCTTTTGTGAAAAAGCAATGGACGAACTCATAGCAACAGGCGCGTACCGAGCATCGCCACTATCACGAGTCCCGTCAATATATTTATCCGACTCGGCTGCATCTTCACAGTGTCAATTGAATAGCACCAGTGATGGAACAACACCCCCACCTTATAGCGAGGCGGAATTGACACAAGCATTTGCTAAGGCTTCTTTATCGAGCCAGGATAATTAAGAATAAAGTTTAATTTGGGTTTCTTTAATTACGGGTGGTTTAGTTTTTTTTCATCTATCATTAATTTCATTATTACACATCATCCATTCTTCTTCGCTGTCTCGAAATTATCATATGATTGTTTTATTATTATTATTATTATTTTTATTACTATTATTCTTATTAATCATTATTATTAATTAATTTTATGCTTCAAACAAAACATTTAAAAAGAGATCGAAGAAATAAAACGAAAAACTAAATTACCTTTCCTGAATTCAATAGATCGATTAGATTGATTAACTTTATTATTATTTTCTTAAAAATTTAGTTTATAAATATTGTATTTGTTATCGTTATGTAATAGTCTTTCTTATATACTATGTTGGGTTCGGCGGAATCTTATATTTGTTTATAGTTTATATTTTTATGAGTTTTTCCACGAAAACAATTTTATTAATTAGTACTAATCCAATGCTAAATAAACAAACAAATAACTTAAAAGTCACTAGTACATATTGTACGTATATAATAAATACTTGGGTTATTCACTTCTCATATTCATCAAATGAAAAAATAACCATTATTAAATGGAAGGATTCTCATATTCATCAAAAGTGAAAGAAAAAAATCTACCGGTAGAGCGTAATAGAATTTACTAAATAGAGGAATTTTTTAACATCGCTCGCTCATGTCCGATCGAGTAAAGAGATTTAAAAGGGGAAATAAAGTTATGACGAAAAAAAGGGGAGGCTTTATAGTAAAAAATTATGCCGCGTATTTAAAAATGGAATCCTCTTACATGAACACTTGGCGCCCGCTAGGTGTGGTGGAAGGTGCGTTCACAAAAGACTTTCCCGAATTAATAAGCGTAATGTCAAAGAGAAGGAATAAACAACACGTCGTATCGTATTGGTTCACATATAATCGGCTTGACCTTGATTGGTTAGAATTCAAACTCGTGCTCAACTCAGCAAAAAAAATATTATTCAAGCTATCCATATAGAGTAACCTTATCCATTATTCCATGTTGATGGGCCATTACACAAGCATCCCTACAATAATCATTCGCAAAGATGCATAATACAGACAAAAAAAATACAAACCGAAAAATAAAACCGACACGCTTTATTCCCCCACAAAGAGCAAACGGGGTTATTTCAAAGCTTCCGATTTTTTTTTTGTATTTAATCGTCCACTGTTTGTTGTGCATGCATTTTTTTCTTCGACAGGAGATCACCATATTGGTCGCTAGGTAAAAAAAAAAAAGAAAAAAAATTCAAGGGAAAAGAATGCCCGCTCGGAAAAAAACACCACCCCCTCCTTCCTCAGGAGCAACTTCAGTAAATACCGCGACCGCCATAAATCTCGCGGCGGCGGCGGCTGCTGTCTCTTCTCACCACGATACAACCCCGACAATACCGCGTCAGAGAAGACGACGACGAACAAGTACTAGTAGCAATAAAGAAACCACACCAACTCGCAAAAGCCCACGAAACCCAAGTCTTAGCAGAACTCCTGTTAATCCTGAAAACATGTATAGTGGTGGTGGTGCTAATGCTGGTGAAAGTAGTAATGAAGACAACAATGACGATTATTCCTCATCACCCAAGTATACTACTGTGTTTCTTCGACCAAGGACCGATTTGCCTTTCCATGATGTAGGGGATGAGCGAAAGTATGACTTTTCGAGAGAAGAAGAAAAGTTTAGAGAATTTCAAGATGAAGATACTTATAGAGCTGAAAAAGATATTCTTAAAAATGACATTGAGGATCACCATGATGATAATGTTTATTCTGAATACGAAGAAGGACAAAGTTCTGATCCTGATTCACCTTCTCCTTCAGTCACAAGAATACCTTTAAAGAGTCCGCATAAATCGCGTGAAATTGACACAACATTTCCGCCAATACCACCAACGAGCAAGCCACATGATCAGAATCCTGATGGTTCGCCATTTTACGCGTCAATTTCTAAGTTATTAAAAGGGGGACTAAATTTTATTCTATGGCCGATCGGTAAACTACTTAATCTTTTAGGTTTTTCCGTGTTCTTTTTAATAGCATTAATCCAACAGACAATATCATTCGTGTGGGGAAATTTAACTGGTCATGGACAATTTGTTAGAATACTTGATACTCCACCTTCCGAAACATCCCCACCTGTTCTCGCACCGTCGCTAGTAGCTGTTACGTCTACTGCTCGAAGTGGTAAGCGATATTGGTGGATTTTGTGGATCATTTTGTTGCTCTGGTCGTTGTGGAATGTAAGATTTGGCGCTGAAGATAAGACAGCAATCGAGTATATACGTGAATTGCCAATTCGAGATAAACTCCGGCTCTGGACATCCAAGAACGAGGATTATCCTAAAATAAGGATACCATTTTCAGTAAACAATGAGGAATCTGAAAGGATTGATCTTCTTTATATAAAACAATTAATTGCTGAAGAAGTTCGAACATCTTGCGAGGGTAAAATGCCAACCATCAAGCCGAACGAAATAACCGAACCTCATCTAATACAATTACGAGGGTTTATATCGACAGAAGTCAAGAATATTTGTGCATCGAACACCGCCGCTCTAAAGAATCAACTAGCCGCTGATCTTCACAAAATTAAGAACGACGTTAACAATGACGTAACAGGTGGCATTAAGAATGTCAAGAAGGATGTAGATGGTAATCTCAACACTATTAAAAATGACGTGAAAAATGACATTAATGGTGTCAAGGAACAAGTCAAAAGCCAATTGAACGATTTTCAGAGTACAATAAATGGTGACATCAATCATTTACGTAGCGCTGTAAAGACTGATATAAATGATGTCCGAACAGATATTAAAAGTGAAGTGAAGAATGACATTAAAAACCTGCGGAATGAAATCAAAACCGATATGAATGAGTTGAAAAGTGATATAAAGAACGGAATAAAGCATGAATACAAGGTTGATATTAATCTTGTCAAAGGCGAACTAAACGAGAATATGAAAAACATGAGAAAGGACATACGTAACGAACTTGGGCACGAGCTCGATGTATTCAAACATGATCTCAGTGATGTTCAAAAAGAATTCCGAAATGAAATCAAAGAAGAAATAAAGAATCAAGTGAGAGGCGATCTCAAGAGTGAATTAAAGGCCGAAGTCAAGAGCGAAATTTCAAATGAAGTAAAGAGCCAAATCTCGAGAACCAAATCCTTGAGAGTGCCAAGTTGGAGGGGAGGGGAAGAATTGTTAGAGGTGATCAGATCCGAGTCTCGTAAGATTGTTGAAGAGGAATTACTGGTATTTTCTCAAGATAAACTAAATCGACCTGATTTTGCACTCCATTCTGGGGGCGCAAAGATCATAAGTCGATTCACTAGTAAAACGTATGAATTGTGGCCCGAGGAATGGTATAAAAAACTTTTTGCTAAAGTTTCTGGTCAAGGAATTCTTCGCGGTAAACCACCAGTTACAGCGATATCACCGGAAACACATGTTGGTCATTGTTGGCCATTTGCGGGTCAAGAAGGTCAACTAGCAATCTTATTAAATCGACGCGTTTATGTCACCGCTGTTACTTATGATCATGTGAGCAGACACGTCACTTTTGACGTTGCAAGTGCACCCAAGGATTTCGAAGTGTGGGGAATCATCGATGAGGGAAATAACGCCCAAGGTACACCTCGAACACAAGATCCCGATGAAGAAACAGTGGAGGATATGTTTAAAGAAACCGAAGATTATATGGAATCCAAAGAAGAAGAATGCGGATTCCGAGAAGACGGACAATATGTTACACATAAGAGCGGTAAACTACCAACCTCAAGTAGCTCCAAACCGAGCGCACTTTCCGAAATCGATCCGCGAATCGAAAATGCCACGTCCGGCGAACTCAAACTAGGATCATCTCCCCTTCACTTTTTCCTCGGAAGTTACACTTACAATATTAATGGTCTCCCCGTGCAAACTTTCGAAGTCCCTGAACATATTCGAAAAGGGAATCGACCTATTCGCGCTATCATAATGAAAGTTAATAGTAATTGGGGAAAGCCTGGGTATACTTGTCTTTATCGGTTTCGTGTGCATGGTGATCCTGTTGATAAGATCGAGACATAATCTTCTAATTAGTGGTGTGACGTTAATGGATTTTTTTTATCTTCATGTCAATTTTTTTGGTAGTGTCAATTGGTATCGACACTTTTATTGTTAATAATAAACTTAAATATATAGATCGTTATAAATACATAACATATTTACATATTTCGTACATAAATATACACACATAGACACATCTAATAATTAATAATAACGATAAGAATAACACAAATTATAAAATTGTTCTAATCGTTCATTTTTCCAACA